CCCCTGGGAGAGGGCTGCTTTGGGCAGGTGGTGTTGGCGGAGGCCATTGGGCTGGACAAGGACAAACCCAACCGGGTGACCAAAGTGGCTGTGAAGATGCTGAAGTGTAAGTGATGCTCGTGTCCCTGCAGAAACAATCCCTTCCCTTTCCAAGCGGGCCATTGCACACCCGCTACATGGCCTGCTTAGGGATGTCCGGGAGTGGGGGGCATTCTGCACCCCAAGATCACTATGCTCTCACTTTGTTCCTTGGCATCCACCTGGGTCGTCATCAGGTGTTTATTCTAGATCCCGTTGCCAACTGATTTTCCTGACGTAGCCTCTGCCCTACTCATTACCACTTATGGCGACACCGGCTCTCGTAAGAGGGATGGGAGGATAAATCTGGATGTGAAAAAGGGAGGAGAGAAGCAAGTCCCAGAGAAAAGGGACCCCTGGGTGCTCACTTCATCCCCTCCCTGAGTTTTTCTCCTGTCGGCCTCCCTTCCAATGCAAACTAGTCTCAATTCCCTTCTCTGACTTGTCCATAAAGCGGATGCAACCGAGAAAGACCTGTCAGACCTGATCTCCGAAATGGAGATGATGAAGATGATCGGGAAACACAAGAACATCATCAACCTGCTGGGGGCCTGCACGCAGGACGGTAGGCGCTGAGCCCGCAGGCTTCCCACCCGTGTCGGGAAGGGGCTCAGGCGGGAACCCCGGGCTTCCTGCTGCCTGTCTGTCGGGGAGCAGATAACTAGCTGGGGTGTCAGCGACCCGGCATCTCTCAGCCACGCTTCGGGAAGTGGGTTGGGAGGAGAGTTTGGTTTAGCAGTAGTTGGAATGTGTTTCTCAGGGTCTGGGCTGGTGCCCATTGGGGTTCATACAGGTACCAGCATTCACACACACTGTGTGGACAGGAACAGCTGAGTTACTGTGGTCTAGGTTAGGGCTCTTGCCCCCAGCTTTGCTTGGGAACTTCCTGGACTGTGCAGGGGAGAATGATTTTGCTGGGTTTCTTTGGGGAGTTGGAATGAATTTGCGGGGTTCCCTAAAAGGGGAGGTTAGGCTTGGGGAACAGGCTCGCAGTTCCCCCAGTGCCATTGGGGGCAGAGTTCCTGGGGTGAAACTAGGCCCGTGTGCCTGCGTGGCGGCCCTGACGGCCTCTCGGTCCTCGTGTCCCCAAGGCCCCCTGTATGTCATCGTGGAGTACGCCTCCAAGGGCAACCTCCGAGAGTACCTGCAGGCCCGGAGGCCGCCGGGGCTGGAATACTGCTACAACCCCAGCCGTCATCCCGAGGAGCAGCTGTCCTCCAAGGACCTGGTATCCTGCGCCTATCAGGTGGCCCGAGGCATGGAGTATCTCGCCTCCAAGAAGGTGTGGTTCCTGAAGGCTCCCCTGGCTGGGGTGGGGGATGTGCGGGCCGCTCTTAGGGGACGTCAGAGTCAGGCGAGCCAGTGTGGCCTTGTGGCCCTGGGGTCAGGGTGGATTAGGTTCCAGTCCCTGCACTGGCACTCTCTGTGCAGCCCCAGGCAGCCGCCTCCTTACTTCTCCTCAAACGTGAAGTCAGAATACTACTGCCTGCGTTGTAGAACAGCTACGCGGGAAAATGAGGTCCCGTGCGAGACTTAAGGACAGCTTTTGGTGCTCAGTAAATGCTGCTTTGTTTGAACCCAGCCTGGTGTGGATGTGCTTCGCCCAGGGAGACGGGGCGTGAGGGCGCGTACACACTGGACAGAAGCGAAAGGTTCCGCTTGCTGGGTGCAAATCCAAAGCTAAGAGCTGGGAGGGGCAGGAAAAGGGGTCGATGTGGAGGGTTTGCTGGAGTGATCGAGGGGCCCAGAGCTGGGGGTGTTTGGACGGCTGGCTCTGACGTGCGGGCGAGGGCCATCGTAGCGGGCAGCTGGACCGTTCGGGGAGGTCGAGTGGTGAGGTGGGCGAAGGCCTGCGAGGGGAGCGGGCCCACAGACGGCTGCAGACCCTCCCCTGCGCCCCGCCCTCCTCACTCCCATCCGTCTTCCCTTCTTGGCTCCGCAGTGCATACACCGAGACCTGGCCGCCAGGAACGTGCTGGTGACGGAGGACAACGTGATGAAGATCGCAGACTTTGGCCTAGCTCGTGACATCCACCACATCGACTACTATAAAAAGACGACCAACGTAAGTGCTGGCGCCGCCCTCGGTGCCCGTCCTCTGCCCGGGGCTCCACTCCACTGTGGTGGGGTGAGCCACGTCCAGCCCTGCATGTGCCCCCGCCTGCCCCGGGCCACCACCAGTGTCCCCGTGCTGCTTGCAGGGCCGACTGCCTGTCAAGTGGATGGCACCCGAGGCCTTGTTTGACCGGATCTACACCCACCAGAGCGACGTGTGAGTCTGAAATAAGCAGTTGCCAGGGATGCCGGGAGAGAGTTTCCTGGGCGGTAGAGTCTGGCATTCCATCCCTGAGAGAAAAAAACATTGTATGTGCCCCTTCACTCTGTTCCCGGAGGTCATGGTCCCCTGGAGTCCCCTGGGGGTAGGGACTTGTGTTGGGGGCCGGGGCCGGGTTCAGGGTGCGTGCCTGCCGTGCTGGGAAGGGAGAGCAGCAAGGACTGCAGGGTGGCCTAGCTCTGTGCCCGGAACGCTCCTCCACAGGTGGTCTTTTGGGGTGCTTCTGTGGGAAATTTTCACTCTGGGCGGCTCCCCGTACCCTGGCGTCCCTGTGGAGGAGCTTTTCAAGCTGCTGAAGGAGGGTCATCGTATGGACAAGCCCAGTAACTGCACCAATGAGCTGTAAGCCGGAGAAGATGCCTGGGGTCCAGGCCTGGGCCCTGGGGGAGAGATGGGCTGGGCAGGCAGAGGGAAGAAGGGGTGCTTAGTCGGACACCGCAGCCCTCCCCGGTCACTCCTCCCGTGGTCCCTCCGCCCTGAGCCTTGTTGTCAGCTCTGGTCCTCCCTCCCCCGCCCTCACCGGCCTGCCTCAGGTACATGATGATGCGAGACTGCTGGCACGCGGTACCCTCTCAAAGACCTACCTTCAAGCAGCTGGTGGAAGACCTGGACCGCATAGTGGCCTTGACCTCCAACCAGGTGAGGCTGCCCTGCCCAGACCTTCAGGCCCCGCCGGCCGGGTTCTCTCTGAATTCCTCCTGCCGCTGCCAGGGGGAGAGTGCGGGTCCAGCGTCCTTCTGTCCCCTCCCACAGGAGTACCTGGACCTATCAATGCCCCTGGACCAGTACTCCCCCAGCTTCCCCGACACCCGCAGCTCTACCTGCTCCTCTGGGGAGGATTCCGTCTTCTCTCACGAGCCCTTGCCCGAGGAGCCCTGTCTGCCCCGACACCCGGCCCAGCTGGCCAATGGCGGACTCAAACGGCGCTGACTAGCACCCCGCACCCCTCCCCGGACTCCATCCTCAGCTACGGCCCCAGCCCCGCTCCCGCTGGACTCGCCGCCTCCTTTCTGCCCTTCCTGCTGGCAGGAGCCAGCTGTCGCCCCCGAGCTCCCCTCTCCTCTTCCTCTCAGCCTGCCGCTGACACAGATGAGCAGGGAGGTGGGGACTTGTTGATGGCCACTTGGTTCCGTCCCAGATGTTGGACCGGGACCCCTCCCAGCCGCCTGGCACTGCCTGGAGGGTCAGGCAGTGGGGGCACGGGCAGCACACGAGGGAGAGCCGACCGAGGTTTTCTGTGTTGGTTTTGTCTGCTCCGTGCAGCCTGTGTTCCCGTGGCGGGTGCCCGGTCCTCGGGCTACAGCAGGAGTGAGGGGGGGTGGTCAGCACTCGGGCCTCCGTGGAAGGCGACCTCTGCTCCAGATGGATGGTGCCAGTGGCTTATTAATTCCGATACTAATTTGCTTTGCTGACCAAATACCTGGTACCGGAGGATGGGGACGCAAAGGCTGGGAGCAGTGTCGTGGCCCTGGGGCCCAGCCCCAAAGCAGGGGCTTTGTACATAGCTATGAAGAAAACACAAAGTGTATAAATCTGAGTATATATTTACATGTCTTTTTAAAAGGGTCGTTACCAGAGATTTACCCATTGGGTAAGATGCTCCTGGTGGCTGGGAGGCATCAGTTGCTATATGTTAAAAACAAAGAAAAAAGAAAAAAAAAAAAAGAAAATGTTTTTAAAAAGGTCATATATTTTTTGCTACTTTTGCTGTTTTATTTTTTTAAATTATGTTCTAAACCTATTTTCAGTTTAGGTCCCTCAATAAAAATTGCTGCTGCTTCATTTTTATACGGGCTGTGTGACACGGGAGAGAATGTCAGCTGCAGAGGAGCAAGGTTGACGGGCTCTGGGGCTGTCTGTCCAGAGGGCACTGCGTGCTCTCTGTGGTCCCCACTCCCAACCAGCTCTTGCCCTCAGGTCCTGCACTGAGGCCTCCGGACAAGCCTCCTAGCTCTGCGATGCTTTGGGAAAGACAGGGAAAGAAGATGGCTGCGTGATGGGCAGGGAGCAGAGAAGCTGGGCCTGGGGCCAGGCCCTGCGGCCCTCTCCACCACGGACCATTTCCTCGGGGGAGAGGGTGAGGCCAGGTGGGGTCTGAGGGTCAGACAGGCAGCTGGGGGCCGACCCCAGAAGAGCCAGCGAGTAGGCTAAGCGCGATTCGACGAGGGCCTGCAGGCGCTCAGGCCCAGATGCGTGGCTGCCCCTCTGTGTGTGGGTGTGGCTTTGCCCGTGCTTCTGTGTGAAGGAGGACTTGTCCCCTAAGACGAGCTTTACCTTCAGGCCCCCTTGCTTCATGTTTCTTGACTCCCAGTCTATTCTGTGTCCATGATTCCCCCTCCCCCCTGCCCATCCACGATTCCTGAATTCGTGTGATCAGACTGCGTGTGTTGGGGCTATCACACATCTTGGCTTCCTATGGTTCTTCCTATACAAACTCCACCCCGGCCCTCAGGAAAGGGAGAACATGGTCTGAATGTGTGTGCTTTGGCTGCTGGGAAATTTTCTTCTTCCACCACCTGCTGGTTAGTTCTGCCCTCACCAAGTAGGTCCTGGCTCCTTGGAACTCGGCTTCTACCCCCAAGTCTTGCCCTTTGCTGGATTCCTCCTGAGTGCAAAAGGAAGTCCAGCACGCTTTCATTCCTGTGGGGAGAATGGGCTTTTTGCTCCTGAGTTTTCCTTTCTGAGCTATTTCTCGGCAGCCGCAGGGCTCGCCCCGTTGTAAAGTTCTCTCTTCTCCTGGGTCTCCTCTGTGAATGAATATGCAACTGTCAACGTACCGTGATTTTGTTTATGTTTAAAGAAGGCAAACGTTGGCAGAGCCAGGAAATGAATTTTAGCACTTAAAACCATTTGCCTGACGCCTTCTAGTGGGGCCTTTCCTTGTAAACCCGTGATGATTTCTGCCCACGGCTGTGCGGACGGATGGGCGATCTTTTACAAAGGGCTTTCTGTACCTTCGGGAGAGGTGCTGGGAGATAGAAGGCACTGTTATTGTAACAGTGATGTCCTCGCTGTTGCTACTGAAATCCCCCGTGAATTTCCCGAGAGACTGAGCTGACTGGCAAATAAAAGATAGTGAAATTGACCTGAGAGAAAATGAAATGGCCATTTTACTTAGTTGACCAGATTGGGTCTCCCGAGGAAAGGAATCCAGCTTATCTAATGAAGATGTCGTGCTGTCAAGGCACTGAGTGTCTGGTTTCCTGAGGGTTAAAAGATTAGGGCCTGGGATCACCACAGCATCGATCGATACTGCCCTCCCGCCCTTTCTAATTGCCACGGGCTGGGGAGCATCCTTCCCCGGGCACCGCTAATGTACCGTATTGATCTCAGGTAAGTAAGATCAAACCTCAGCTGGAAAGAATCTGTCTCAATGACAACAGAGTCGCTGTGTTGATCAGCCGCCAGTGGGGGGAGCCAGCAAGCCAGAATCAAAGATTAAGGAACGTGCCAATCGGCTTTCACGTTCCGTTAGTCTGACCTGACCTACAGCTGTGCGCTGGTGGGGACCGGGAAACCTTTAGTCTAGGTTTTAACGTTATAGAGCATTTATTCGATATCACCAGTGTGACCTGTAATGACCGAAATACAGGATTAGACATGGCACGGTGCAGGTCCACACATGTCAGATGCCACCAACACCTTTCTTTTGGAGCAGAATTCTCAGTGAGTGAGACAAGGGCCGAGTCTGACATCACCACTGGGGTTGGGCTTTAGAAAATGCCTAAAGTTATACTCAGATTATTAGCAGCCGGTACAGCTGCAGTATCTGCATGTGTGGGGAAGAGTAGAGGGCGGGGGAAGGAGACAGGCTTCCATTCCCTCAGCTGCTGAGAGCCAGATCGGCAGGAACCCTGGTGTTCAGAAACGCTCTGTTGGGGCAAGTTCTCTCTAGGTTGGCACTTAACAGTGTTTATGGCCATTTACACGGTACTGCCTCCCAGATGCCTGTGTTGGTACATGGAACTGATACAGTTGCTGCAGGCACCAATTAGAGGTTTAAGTGTCTCTCGTTCCTCCAGGAGGCCTAGGGTCTGTTAAGTATGGTGTCTTGAGCTGATCGTGTACATCTCTTCCCAACTCTGCATTGTTCGGTGACCTCCTGTTGGTAGCTTGAAAATCAACCTTGTGGGAGTACTTACATCACCGTAATCTGCGAAGGCTACAAATCAGGGCTCCCCCTGCAGCCACGGCCCCTGCCAGAGTTGGGTGTTAATCATTTACCAGAACACCGCTAGCTCGGTTTCAGCAGGGGGCTGCATCTAATGATCATGGGACCCACCAGCCAAGGGCTCTCAATGATGAAACAAAGCAACGACCTTGACCTCTCTGAGGACTCTCAGAAGAAGGGGAGGAGAGGTGTGTCAAGTGTCTTAGATGCCTATTTATGAAGCAAAAATGGGTGAAGTCCAACGGAGGTCCAAACCCCTTGAGCTAACCAGTCCCACTCTGCTCATGGGGAAAGCCAGGAAGAGTTGTAGAGCAGCCCAGCAGCACCCGTGAGGCATCCAGCTGAAACAGGGTGGAGCAAGTGCACTAGTTCATCCCTTTCTCACGTGTAACACCTGAAATGTGAACTAATTAAACAACCATCACTTGAAAAATGGGATAATTTATTGTGAATCACCTTGCGAAGCCAATGCTGAGATGCCCGGAAGGCCGCACGGTCGGGATTCGTCGTAGTCGAGGCACTGGCGTTCCTCAGCAGGACATGGTGAGGCGGAGAGGAGGTTTAGGAAGCATTTTAAAGTGCATTTCCTTGCTGCGAAATGCCGGTGACATTCCTCATTTAGATGATCCCAGGTGGGGAGATGTGAGTTTTCCTTGGTTGCATTGACTCCCATCTAACTGCTTTCAATTTCACAGCAAGTAAAGGAATCCAGTTTCATCACCCACAGCTGAAATACCTCTCCCCTTCTAAGCACTCCCCAAGGGAAGAAGGCTGGTGGTCAGCTGCAGGGCAGCCTATTTATTAAGTTTTTTCAGTATGGACAACACTGAAGACACCCAACGTAAATATCTGAACATGATACTTGTTACTGGGTAGCCTAGGGATGATATCAGACTCTAACAACCCCTGTGACTAACAGATAGTCTTGTTTGTGAAAGACAGACCAGAAAAACACACACCCAGCACAAACAAATGGTTAAGTCTTAAACCCTTAATTATGTTTCCTAGCAAATGGAGGCTAATGGAAGCCATATGTGCTGGAAGAGTGGCAGCCTCCCAGATCCCTGCAGCCTCTGCAGGCCCGAGAGGGGCTGTCTCAGAACAGCCAAGCCGCGGCCAAGTCTTTCTGATTGCCAGTCTGTTGAACTCCCCATTTGCTTCTCCAAGAAGCTTTTTCTTCTTTATATCCAGGAAGACTTAACTGGGGAGTTATATCCATTCTGTCTCAGAAGGTAGTTTCCAGGGCACTGTTCCTACTGATGGGTCAGGCACTCTCACCATCACTGGCTTCGGAGGTACCCAAGTTCTTACCCGGGTTACCAAGCCAGAGGAGACGAGAGGTATCTGAGGCACCAAGCTGATTCCATTATGCAAAAAATTTCCTCCCTTAAAGGACACGAAGCTGTTGGAAAACAACATGGCGGGTGGGCCTTACACAAGGTCCAGTGGGATGACCTAATGCTACAGGGGAAATGGACTTTGCAATTATAGTTTTCCAAATGGTCTGAACTTGGTCTTGCTGCTGACATCATCTGAATGGTTACAAGGCCTCAAAAGACCGCCCCAAGGACTAAATGTCTGATCTTATATCTGAAACCAGACATAGGTAGTCTTGGCTGGGATGTCCTTTACGGATGCCATTGCTGAGGGCAGGAAGCCAGAGAGAGGGCGCTCCATCCTCCATGAGTCCTTATGCTCCATTCGAATTAGCCTTGCTGTTCTGGGTTGTCTTGTGATTCTGCCTAGAGTGTCGGGGTACAAAACATAAGGATTTTAGGGACTGGTCACAGTGAGAAAGAAGACATGCAAACAAGGCCTAAACATCTGGGAGTTCCTTGGTTCTCTCCTTGGTTCTCAGGAGTCAGCAAAGCCACTCCACAACTCAACTCCCCCGTGACCCCCTACTGTTCACTGCAGCAGGCTTTCTGCTCTCGCCCCCAAATGGGAAAAGTGGATAGATAAGTAATTTCTTATTTACATGCACTTCTCCTAAGATTTAAATTGCTTTCCTGCTAGTATTTCCTGACATCTGAAGCCTGTGCGAAATACACAACATATGGGAACTATTTCCATCTGGTGCCACAGAAAATAAGAATCTGCCTATATTGTAATTAGCTTCTAGACTTAACATGGTTAGGTCTGATCCACGATTGCGTTTGTTGATTTTTTTTTTTTCTTTCACTTTTGGGTCATGGGTTCTTTTTGTTTTTTGTTTTTTTGGCGGTACGCGGGCCTCTCACTGCCTTGGCCTCTCCCACCGTGGAGCACAGGCCCCGGATGCACAGGCCCAGCAGCCATGGCCCACGGGCCCAGCCGCTCCGCGGCATGCGGGATCCTCCCGGACCAGGCCATGAACCTGCGCACCCCGCATCGGCAGGCGGACCCTCAACCACTGCACCACCAGGGAAGCCCTGGGTCATGGAGTTTTTAAAAAATATAGTGGTTATAAAGATGACTAAAGTTCAGCCTCCAGCTTCCTGTTTGGAAGACAGGGAGACAGGGTGCGGTGTTTTGCAACAGTTATAATTCTAGATTCTCACTGCCCTTAAAAGTAACTAGAGGGAAAGGGTTTTCTTTTTTTAGAAACTTACAGCTTCTTTAGCAGAAGTGATGGATCCTTTACATAATGAAATAGGATTTGATGGTGTAAGTGATGATGTAGCTGGCGGCAGCTGTATCAGTTCTTCATCCTTAAACATCAGAGCTGAGAGTTGGGTTACTGACTTACAGCAAAAGGTATATTGTGTCTACAGTCACCCTGCCATGGCTACCAGGAGCTTGAAACAGCTACTTCACATCTGGCACTGGACTCAACAGGCAAAATCTGGAACCTAAGTACATATAGCCAGATGTTGAACTTTCTTAGAAACAGATCAAGCAGTACCAAAAAAAAAATCCATATTAAAGAACACCACTGTATTGAAATTCAGTTTCATTCAGGCAGTGAAAAATAGAGAAATTAACTTCTTGTTATTTTCACTTAAGCAAATGAAAAGTAATTGTCTAACCTTAGTTCCCTTCAGTTGAAGTGCTAAACCCGCCATGTTCTCTTTAGATTCAGAGGAAGTGGGTGATCCCACGGGAATATCCATCTTGGGAGCCTAGGGAGAGAAATGTTTTATATAAGCTAAGCCTTCTGTTCTTCCTGAAACTCAGAAGCACTTCTACGGTAGTCGGTACTTTCCAGCACAATTTGCTTTCCACTAAATCCCTGACTTCCTTTATGAGTAACATATTGAAGTACATGTCCCTGAAATAGCAACTTAGTATTATTTATCTTTTGAGTTTTGAGCACCCTAGTTGCACTCTAATTAGATTCTGATACTTAAAATCCTCTGTTATTAACAAGCTACTGATTTGCCAATTCTGATCCTGTTCTCACTCTCAAAAAAAAAACACAAAAGTTGCCATTTCTCATTTACCCATCAGTTTCTAATAGCATTGCTATAACTTAGTCAAAAGTGACATCTTTATATGGTGTCTAATAATAAGTGATAAACTTGTCTGACTTATTCAAATGGTAGGTGCTGCGTAATAGATGCCCTGCAACATCAGGAAAATGGAGGGAGGGAGTAGTATTTTAGAAGAGCTAGCTAATCTGCCTTCAACAATTATATTAATTAGATCTGAAAAGCAAATATATCACTGCTCTTTGGAAGTAAGTAATTTCTTCATGTACTTTGGAGGGAAAGGGTCTACGTATATCCAAAACTATAGTATATTCAGTTTGATCTCTCTCAGTTCTCTACTGAACCTAGTATGCTACTTGTTTTCATTTTGTATATATGGAGAAGTTTAAAAGCATGGATTTAAAAAAACAACAACAATAAAATGCCTAGGAGCTTGTCCTTACTTCTTAGGTCTTTATTAACCATTCCAGAAACAACATCTGGATCAAGAGTTTATGCCCCTCTAGAATAATTCTGAAACTCAAATTTAACTCTAAGACATTTTGCTACTCCAAAATTTCTTTGCTACTGAAGGGCAGTCTAAAAATGACAAATAGCTGGTCTGTCTCAGAAAATGTAAGAACCCAGCAGCCTATTAGAACATGGTTTATGTTCCAGAATTGCTCCTCGTCTCCCTAGAATCCTTCTGGACAAAGCCCAAATCCAGATTAGTCTCTGGAAATATGGAAAGGGAAAGTAAGATGGTGTTTCCTGAAGTACATTATTTTTATTTTTATTTTTTATTTTTTGGCTGTCCTCCACAAGCTTTATTGAAGATTAAGATCCTTAAGCGTTAGTTTTATTCTTCAAGTATCACTTGAGCACATCCAAAGCATACTGAAATATGATTAGGCCCTACTTCTTCCAAGACCTTCATCTCACTTCCCTTTCAGAAGTCACATTTATGAATCAGGTCCAAAACTACTGAAGTACATTTTTCATGCGAGACATTGTATCATTTTTGTTGGCTTGCCCAAGGAGTCAATAGCATAACTAAGATTTAAAATGATTGGTCCTCACTCCAAAGTACTTAGTTCAATCTGCTCAGTCACACGTGCAGCATCTTCTATCATTGATACATGTTCTGAGTCAGACATGAAGCCACAAAGTAGGGAAGCGAGAGGCCCTTTCTGATGGACCCAGAGCAAGATGCTCTAGTGATTGGGCCAGTCCTGGGTTCTTCAGTAAAACACCAGGAGAAAAAAAGGCTGCTGAGTTCAAGGCAATAAAAAAATGATTAAGGAAAAGAGTTGAAGGAAGACAAAAAGAACTGTTTATATTCTAGATTGGCCATTCACTGCTTAAAAAGTAATAGAAATCTGGGGACTTCCCTGGTGGTCCAGTGGTTAAGACTCCCCCTTCCAGTGAAGGGGGCTGCAGGTTCAATCCCTGGTCGGGGAGCTAAGATCCCACACGCCTCTCAGCCAAAAAAACAAAACATAAAACAGAAACAATATTGTAACAAATTCAATAAAGATTTTTAAAATGGTCCACATCAAAAAAAAAAAAACCTTAAAAAAATTAATAGGAATCTGGACAAATGAAATAGATATGAAAGAACAAGAACCATTCAGTCTCAAAGGAGAAAGAATGGTGGGGAAAAAAAAAAAACGGCTAAAAAGACTAGATACTTAAGTAGAAAGGATAAACTGGACTCCTAATAAGACTCCTAAATCAAATAAGACTCCTAAAGATAGTAACAGCTACATAGCTAGAGGGGGTTTGAGTGATTTTCATTTTTTAAAGATTTTTAAAGCCACTTGGGCCAAATTCCAAGATATGCCAAAAGAAATGCCTACTCTGACTGTAACGGGAAATGGAGGTTTGCGGAGAGGCCCCAGTCCTGGGGTCCAGATTCCCCACTGACCCAGGACTTACCTCCCCACTGAGTGGTATCTCAGTTGGCTTTGGCTTCACATCTATCAGGTAGAAGGTTCGGGACAGAAGCAAAAGAGGAGGGACATTCTCCTTCAGGTGGAGGTCCTGCCCCTGGAGAATGGGGGGAGGATGAAACATGACAATCACAGGACGTGAGAGCTGGACCCACGGTCATCTACTCTTCCCTGGTTTTACAGCCCCCAGGTGCACGCTGAGTACTAAGGGCAGAACAAGGACAGGGACACGTCTCCTGGCTTCTGCACCAGTGCTTGGGCCCTGTAGCCTCTCGCTTTCAGAGTCTGAGGGAGGTTCGGTTAAACTCTCAAACCAGTTGTGGATCAAAGTAGCTAAGTATCTTCTCTTCAGTATGAAGTCGGTAATGTGAAAGAATACATCAGCCTCATTCATAACCAAAGAAATTAACATTAGAATGAGATGTAAGTTTTCAAGTACCAAATGGCCAAACTTTAAATGGATGTATGTATATGTATGTGTATATAGACAGATATAATACACGCACAAGAGACAAAATTCAAAAGGTAAATAAAATCTAATCAACAAAAATAAGCCTGCCTTCTACCCTATTCTCTAGCTACCCTATTTCCCTCCCTGGAAGCAACCACTGATACCAGTTCCTGATACAATATTCCAGAGATATTCTGTGCATATAAAATAGATATTTTTATGTTTATCTTTACACCAAGTGTGACAGTATACACACTGTTTTGTCCTTTGCTTTCTGAAATATCTTGGAAATTGATTCATACCAGATGACGTAGAGCTGCCTTCTTTTTAAACGTCTGTAAAGGAATCCATTGTACGGAAATGCCATAATTTGATTATTCTACGGTTTTCCATCTTTTGCTGTCATAAATGGTGCTGCAGTAGATAACCTTGTAGATATATCATTTTGCACATGTGCAAGAATATAGGATAAATTCCTAGAAGTGAAATTTCTAGGGCAAAGTAAGTGCATTTTTAAAATTTGCAAGCTATTGCCAAACCTCCATGGAGGATTTTACCAGCAATGCATGAGTGCCTCTCTCCTCACATCCTCTCCAACTCGGTGTGTCACCAGACTCTGACCTTTCCCAACGTAACAGGTGAATGTGGAGTCTCATAGTTTTTTGTATGTTTGTTTGTTTGTTTTTGACTGCACCATGTGGCTTGTGGGATCTTAGTTCCCCGACTAGAGATTAAACCCTGGCCCTCAGCAGTGAAAGTGTGGAGTCCTAACCACTGGACCACCAGGGAATTCCCAAATTGCACAGTTTTATCTTTTTCTGAAGTTAAGATGTTTCCTAGGTTTACCATTTTTAGCTTTAACTTTCTGTGAAATGTCAGCCGTATCCTAGCATAGGATTTTTGGAATTACATTACAGAGTGCTGAATATTGTATGGCTGGATTAGTATTCTCACCCCCTTGAAGTGCATTGTAAAATGATACATCCTTTCAAGAAAGCAATTTGACAGTATGAAGTCACTTAATACTCTATGTTCAGGAAATAAATGATGTTTAAATACCCCTTGATAACATGCTCACCTTCCAACCAGAGCCGGTCCGACATGGAAGAGGAAATAGCTACCTGACAGGGTTCAAAGTCACGACAGTGGTTCCTATTCCCAGATAATTTGTGTACACTCCATAGTACTTTATACAGTTACAGGAATGAGGATTGTAATAGGAGTTATTCCTTTGTTGTAAAGCGTTGACACAGTTAAAATCTCTTATTTGAGGGAGACTATGTTATCTGAGGGGAAATCTGTTACAAAGCTAACACTTGACCCTGGTTTGGGGCACAAACTGGGAAAGCAACCCCACCTGAGCCCCCGGCAAGGTGGCTCCAGATGGATTCACACGGATGACAGGCCTTCTATCAGAGCTTTTGCCCAGGCCCTTATAATACCCAGAGGAAGTACAATTCGAAGATGGTCCCAAGATTTCCAGTCCCTCGTGTACCCACACCTTCTCCCAGTTATTCAATTAAACGCTAATCTAGGTGCTGCCATGAAGGGATTTTACAGATATAATTCAAGTCCCAAGTCAGTTGACCTTAAAATAGGAAGATTATCCTGGTAGGTCTTACCTAATCACGTGAGACCTTAAATCTGCCGCTAGACGTCATGTGAGAAGTTCACGCAGGTGGAGGGGCCTCCAGGGCTGAGAGTAGCCTGGGGTTGGGAGCCAGTAAGGAAATGGGGACCTCACTCCACAGCTGCAAGGAACTAAATTCGGCCAACAAACTGAATGAGCTTGGAAGTGGAGTCTCCCACACAGCCTCCAGAAAGGAAAACAGCCTGCACTTCTGACCTGCAAAACCATGAGCCTATAATGGGTGCTGCTTTGAGCCCCTACATTTGTGGTGGTGTGTTAGCAGCAATAGAGAACTCTTTAATAGAGTACCTACCGTGTCTCTGTCAAAAATAAATCCAGGGCTTCCCTGGTGGTGCAGTGGTTAAGAATCCGCATGCCAGTGCAGGGGACACGGGTTCGAGCCCTAGTCCGGGAAGATCCCACATGCCACGGAGCAACTAAGCCCGTGCATCACAACTGCTGAGCCTGCGCTCTAGAGCCCGCAAGCCGCAACTACTGAGCCCACGTGCCACAAGTACTGAAGCCCTCACGCCTAGAGCCCATGCTCCGCAACAAGAGAAGCCACCGCAATGAGAAGCCCGCACACTACAACGAAGACCCAACACAGTCAAAAATAAATTAATTAATTAAAAAATAAATAAATCCAGCTTCTTCAGCTGCCAACGGCTCAACTAAACAACGCAAATTAGGTAAGATGGCAAAGCACAAATCACAAAACGAGGTCTGCAGATGGCAGGGGAGAGAGTTCCGGGGAAGAGGGTCCAGTAAAGCTGCTACCTGCCTCTGTGAGCTGCTGCTTCAGCTGCTCCTCAGTGAGACCCAGTGAGCGCATCCCCCGGGCCCTGCAGGCCGCTTGCAGCTCTGACAGGCTCAGAGCACTCACCCCTTCCTTGGCAATTACCTGAAACAAACGTAAGGAACGGTATTGGATCCTTTGGTTCCAATTTTACCTAATTCCAACAAATCGGGGGAAACGCAGGATCTGTCACTTTCCCACTTTGTCCCCCGCGCTGACTGCTGCAAAGGCCAGGCAATTAATAAAGGTGACCTCGGGAGGTGCAGTGGTTGACATGAAGGGAATCCCGCAAACAGGTATTAATAACATCAGAGAAGTTGACAGAACTCCTCAACTGCCTGTCCCCAAGGTAATTCTTTCCCCTCTTGCGTTGCCTTTCGCCTGGTTGTGACAGCTCTACTCCACTTCCCTTTCGCGGCAGCTTTAAGACTCATAGAAAAATATTCCACTTCAAAAGCTTTCAATGGACCATTTGTTGCACGTCTGGGTGGTGGTCCTCCCCGACCCCAGGAACGGCCCCAGCTCCCTGGTCTGCAAAACTCCCTCAGTAAACAACTTAACACAGTTTCTGCTTGGTATGACCCCAAACTGTGGTACTTCTGGGACCGGTATTGTTTATTCCAAAGTTCTAAAAGCAACCCCTAAACATCTAAATGGGGCCGATGGGATCCTGCCTTCTCAGTTCTGGGAGCTCTGCTCCCTCAGGCAGAATGCTTTTAAAGCAACTGATTCAGATTCAAGAAACATTCTTCCCACTTTTTTTTTTTTTTTTTTTTTTTTTGCGGTACGCGGGCCTTTCACTGTCGTGGCCTCTCCCGCTGCGGAGCATAGGCTCCGGACGCGCAGGCTCAGCGGCCACGGCCCACGGGCCCAGCCGCTCCGCGGCACGTGGGATCTTCCCGGACCAGGGCACGAACCCGTATCCCCTGCATCGGCAGGCGGACTCTCAACCACTGCGCCACCAGGGAAGCCCCTCTTCCCACTTTTTAAGGACTCTAATTAGTAGCTATAGTCCAAATGGTGCCCTTTTCTTCCAGAAGATGTCGAGGTCCTGCCTTCCCTCCCTGCATTATCCTTTGCCACCCCTTCGTACCAGGCAGGCTCACCCAGCTGTGTGGGGAGAAGCAGAGGGGAGGTACAGGGCGTTGCGCGCTGTCCTTGGCAGTGGAATCTACTGTTTTCAGGGATCTACTGGGTTGCTGTTCCTTCCCAGCAGACCCTAACTGCTTTAGATTAGTCCCAGCTAAGACATCCAAACTCCTAACTGCTTACAAGGGCCTTCCAAAGAATACGACAGGCAACTCCTCAAGTGAGTAGTCAAGGTTCAGGCTGTCAGTGGTTGTTTAAACCAGCGGTCCCCAACCTCTTTGGCACCAGGAACCGGTTTCGTGGAAGACGACTTGTCCACCGAGACGGGGGTGGCCGGGTGACGAGGGGGATGGTTCAGATGATAATGAGAGCGATGGGGGGGTGGCAGACGCAGCTTTGCTCTCTCACCTGCCGCTCACCTCCTGCTGTGCGGCCCCGGTTCCTAACAAGCCACAGGCCGGTTCTGGTCCGTGTCCCGGGGGTTGGGGACCCCCTGGTTTAAACCACTCATTCTTCCAGAACCAGCCCCTGAGCAGACCTAACAGAAGACACTGCAGTTTGTCACAAAGCCACCCTAAGACAGTCCCCAAGGCCTGGCTAATCCCCTACAGCTGTAGTTCAGCTCTTACTTCATCATCTGCTTTCATAGATTTCAGCTTCATCAGGAGCTGGAAGCAGAGCAGATTGTTGGTTCCAAAGAACTGCAGTTCCAGAAGTTTGCAAAGGGCCACCAGCTGAGATCGATCGAGGTGCTCCAAGATCAACTCATCCTCAAAGAGTTTGGAAAAGCGAACTATCTCCTTTGTGCTGGGCTTGTGGCCTGTCTGGACCTAGGTAGTGGGACGAAGGGGCTGGTTAAAACGTGCTTCCTACTTAACTGAATCTTCCCTGTAGACTATTTGAAAGATGCCAAAGCATTTATGGATTGTGTCTTCTGTCTGGAAGTGGAAGCGTGCCCTGTGTTACAAAAAGGAGTTAAAAAAAAAAAAATCTGTCGGAAGTCAGCCTAAATCAACCGAAAAATTAGGAGCAGTTCAGAAGTTTGAGTTTCATTCTACTGTTCTTTCCAAGAAGTTATCAACATCTTCAACACATTGATGGCTTTAAGATAGGTTTTTCTGCAAACTCCCATAAATGTTTGCAATATTATATCTCTGTAACTTAGATATTTGCAAATTCAGAGATTATAAACAAGTTGGAAGCTCCATGATGATATGTTGTCCGGTTTTATATAAAAGACTGACGCCTGTTTGTTGTAGGATGCGAACTGGGTGGAGGTATCCCCCAGCTGCGCCCTGTTCCTCCTTGCCATTTCTGCAATCGTTTCTTGAAGGAATTTTGCTAGTTCCAACTTCGCAGCCATTTTCTTTTTCTGTTTTTCTTCCTTCATAATAGAAGAGGAAAAAGTTAATCAAAGTTAATTCTTTGTGATTACAACTTGGTAGATAAAGATGAGAGAAAAATAACTGTGGCTTTGTTGTCGGTCATCCCTATTTCACGTATGAATATTATTTTCAGACCTAACTGAAGGCGCTTTGTGATAACCAGAGCAAATTAAAAAGTAGCCTTGATTTGCAGCTTGTCTCCTTAATCTTACCTTTCATTTTTCATTGATACAATGATCATAAGTATTTGATAGATCCAAAATGTCCCCTCAATGGAAGCCTTTGTCACTATTTAGAACAGATACATACTGTCTCTTAACCTGGTGCAAGCCATCTGGGCTGTTGGTCAAGTCAACCCCTAGTGTGAGTGGCCCCTGTTTTTGCTTGGGCCACAAACTAAAGAAAAGTAGGAAATTAACTCTAAGCTAAAGTAGCTTACAGGTTAAGAAGAAAACAGAAAGAATCAATTATAAGACAATGCGTTAAGTGCTATAACAGATATGAACAAAGCACTATATAAAAGAGAATTAAATGTATATTCTTAAGACACTATGTTGACCAGTATTTCTAAATCCTCATTCATTATCACAGATGCAGTGTGGTAGTATTTTCAAAATAACCATGGGGCTTCCCTGGTGGCGCAGTGGTTGAGAGTCCGCCTGCCGATGCAGGGGACACAGGTTCGTGCCCCGGTCCGGGAAGATCCCACATGCTGCGGAGCAGCTGGGCCTGTGAGCCACGGCCGCTGAGCCTGCGCGTCTGGAGCCTGTGCTCCGGACGGGAGAGGCCACAACAGTGAGAGGCCCGCGTACCAAAAAAAATAAAAATAAAAAAAAAATAACCATGATCAGGGTGACTAGAGAGGAACAGGAATATGTGTGTGTGTGTGTGTGTGTGTGTATAGTATATATATATATATATACACACACACATATATATATTATATATATATATATATATACATTTCCCCCTTAAGTTGCCCAAGAGATTCTAATGACCAGCCAATCACAGCGATCATTGATTTTTTCAGAAAGATCTTAAAAGAATCAGCCCCCAAAATTACACAGTGGCAACACCATCATTAAAACCCATTTAACCATCCATTTCATTCATCTGTATCCATCCATCCATTTATTTATTGGGCATCCACTGTGTGCTAGCTGCTGGGATAAAATGAGCAAAAACAAATAAGAATCCCTTCCCTCATGGAACTTCTAGTCTAATGGGAGAGACAACCATTGTTGACTAATGATAATCCAGTAATTCCACAAATTAATGTGAAAGCATACCAGATAAGTACCATGAAAGAGAAGCGCATGCTCCTGTGACCTGGTGTGAGTAGAAAGCTAGCACACTCACGCTTACTCTCGTGCTCCCCTTCTGTTCATGGAACAAAGCAAAGAAGACAGTATTGTCTAAAACTGTGGCCATGATGTGTATATATGTATGTCTGGGGAATGAGTAGTGCTGAGGAAAGAGGAATATTTAGATAAATCACTTCCTCATTCCCCCCATCTTCCTGCATTCACTAATGCCTTCCTTGGAATCCTATGGTATTAATTCTAGATCCTGTTTACTTTAAATGTAAGTAAACTAAACCACTGCCAGGCAGTTAAATATTGCAATTTGATTCTACCCCTTAAATCTGTCTCAAATTTTTCTTTTCTTTTTTTTTTTTTTTGCGGTACGCGGGCGTCTCACTGTTGTGGCCTCTCCCGCTGCGGAGCACAGGCTCCGGATGCGCAGGCCCAGCGGCCATGGCTCACAGGCCCAGCCGCTCCGCGGCATGTGGGATCTTCCCGGACCGGGGCACGAACCTGTGTCCCCTGCATCGGCAGGCGGACTCTCAACCACTGCGCCACCAGGGAAGCCCTATCTTCTTCTTTTTTTAAGAAATTTTATTGTATTTACTGTTATTATTATATTTTATTTATTTACTTTGGCTGTGCCCGGTCTTCATTGCGGCACTCGGGATCTTCATTGCAGCATGCATGTGGGACCTAGTTCCCTGACCAGGGATAGAACTCAGGCCCCCTGCATTGGGAGCGCGGAGTCTTACCCACTAGACCACCAGGGAAGTCCCTCAAATCTATCTTCAAGTTTTCACTCCTGATACAACTTTCATAATTCCGGCTTTTTCATCTCTCTCTTGTGCTGCTGCAAAAACATTCCGGCTGGTTTTCCTCACTTGGCTCTGCCCTCTTTAATCCTTCCTGCCAGCAACTTGTTTTTCTAAAATACAACTCTAATCATGGTTGATTAGATTATTTAGATTGATCTAAAATAGAGATTACTGTTTTTCTCACCCCCTGCTTACATACACCTTCCATTACTCACCACTGTCAAATTCTGAATTCCTTAGGGTGGTAGATGCTTTCCAACCTGACCCCAACACATCTCGGTTGTCTCATTTTCTCCCACCCATCCCCTTGTACTCCCTGCTCCAACCACAAAGAATCAGTCAGTGGTCTCTGATTGGCATACTCTTTTACACTGTTAAGCCATCTTAAGTGCTATTCCTTCTATCCAGAGTGCCTTTCAAACAGTGTGGTAAAATTCTACTACTCTTAAAGTCTCAGGTCCATGGTCGCCTCTTCCGTGAAACATTTCCTGGTCTGCTTTCAAAGTTGCCCTCTCTGTCCTCTGCTAGTGTTGTGTCCACGCCTTCATCCATCTGTCTGGGAGAGTGGCACAGATGGAGAGGATGCAGGGGCTGCCTCGGTGGTCCAGCGCTTCACCTTCACAGTGACCATCAAAGAAGGACACCCTCTTCCCAGGGACTACTCACAAGCACTAAATGGTCTGTTTGGCTGAATAAATCATGCGTACTGTTCAACTAGTCACTGCAGTAACAGGTGATTTTTGTTTTCTTTATTTTTTCATGGTAAAAAGTTAAAATTGAGTGGAGAAGGGATATTTTTTTTCAGCAAATGATGCTAGAAAAAGTGGATATCCACAGGCCAAAAAAAAAAAAAAAAAGAGCTTGACACTCATGTTACACCTGTCACCAAAATTAACTTAAAATGTAAAACTCAAAACTATAAAACTCCTAGAAGAAAACACAGGAGAAAATATAGGTGACCTTGGGTTTGGCAGTGAGTTTTTAGATACAACACCAAAAGCATGATCCAAGAAAGAAAAAAATTGATGAGTTGTACTTCATTAAAATTAAAAAGATTTGCTCTGAAAAAGACACAGTTAAGACTGGGAGAAAATATGTGCAAAACACATATCTGATAAAGAACTTGTACCCAAAATATACTAAGAACCCTTAAAAAACAACAAAAAGAAAACACCCCGATTAAAAAGTGGGTGAAAGATTTGAACAGGCACCTCCCCAAAGAAGATACACAGATGGCAAATAAGCATGTGAAAAGATGCTCAATGTCATGTGTTATTAGAGAATTGCAAATTAAAATAACAATGAGATACCACTACACACCAATTAGAATAGCTAATAGTAGTCAAAGCACAGACAGCACTAAATGCTGATGAAGCCACAGGAACTTTCATTGCTTGCTGGTGGGAATGCAAAACGGTACAGCTACCTTAGAAGACAGTTTGTCTATTTCTCTTGAAACTAAACATAGCCTTACCATACAATCCAACAATTTGCTCTCCTAGGTATTTACCCAGATGAACTGAGAGCCTGTGTCCACACAAAAACCTGCACATGAGTATTTACAACAGCTTTATTGATAATTGCCAAAAACTGGAAGCAACTAAGATGTCTTTCAAATAGATGAATGGATAAATGGTGGTACATCCGTACAATGGAATATTATGCATTGATAGAAAGAAATGAGCCAGGAAAAGACATGGAGGAACCTTAAATGCATCTTCTAAGTGAAAGAAGGCAGTCTGAGAAAGTTACACACTGTATGATTCCAACTACATGACATTTTGGAAAAAGCAGAACTATAGAGTAGAAAGATCAGTGATTGCCCCGGGTTAGGGGAAGAGGGAAGAGGGACTAAAAGGTGGAGCACAGGGGATTTTTAGGGCAGGGAAACTATTCTGTGTGATACTGTGATAGCGGATACATGACATTATTTTTTTTTCAAAACCCATAGAACTATACAACACAAAGAGTGGACCCTAATGTAAAGTATGAGATTTAATTAATACTGATGTATAGATACTGGTCCTTCGATTGTACCAAGTGTACCACACGAATGCAAGATGCTAATAATGGGGGAAATAACGGGGGGGGGGAGATATGTGGGGACCCTCTGTACTTTCTGCTCAATTTTTCTGTAAACCTAAAAACTGCTCTAAAAAACAAAATCTATTAATTTTTTAAAAAGTTTAAAATCCTACATACCTTTTTGGATTCACTTTCAAAGATGATGGCAACATCTCTGGGAAGAGTTTCAGAAACTCTGGCAATAAGGATTCCATGAAGGGAACAATGATGAACACCATAAATGGAACCAGGCGGAATAAATCAGCACACGTTCTCAACAGCTAAAGAATCAAATGCATATGCAAATAGTCATTATTTTAGGACACGACAAAAACAAAAACAAAAGCCTGCCTTGGTTCTTAAAGTGTTAAAAAAAAACCAAGACAGATTTTCTGCAGCTGTTTATAAAATGGAAAGGCCGGATTTTCCTCTGTACCATAGCTCTGAAGTAATATTTATGGGATATCTTCAATGAAATCTATGACAATCAAAACATGTTATTGGTGTCTCTGAGCTTTTATCTAAGTTAGGGGTCTGTACTTTAATAACATGGTATCTGTTAAAATTGCTTTTTCAAATGCATATACTTAATATATTAACAGCAGTTTCTACTCCAGATGCACAGATCAAACTTGAAGCCTCTCAACCCCTTGGAGAAATTAGAAAACACAATTATAACCATTCCATGGACAAATATACACAAATTTTAGGAACGCTGCCTAAAGTTGTACAGCAAGTCAGTTGCAGACAAGTAAGAAATTCTGATTCTCACCATGAGTTACTATTCCTACTCTGGGATTTTTAAGATGAACTTGAAGTGGAACTTAAAAGTTGGTTCCAGGGCTTCCCTGGTGGCACAGTGGTTGGGGGTCCGCCTGCCAATGCAGGGGATGCGGGTTCGTGCCCCGGTCCGGGAAGATCCCACATGACGCAGAGCGACTGGGCCCGTGAGCCATGGCCGCTGACCCAGCGCATCCGGAGCCTGTGCTCCGCAACGGGAGAGGCCACAACAGTGAGAGGCCCGCGTACCGCAAAAAAAAAAAAAAAAAAAAAAAAGTTGGTTCCAAATAGTTCATTTTAACTTTCCATTTTCTTTCGCAAATATGACTCTTGCCCTACCCTTCGTCCCTCTCGTCTGGTCAGCACCTGTCCGTCCAACAGCCTCCAAACCATTCTGGCAGCCACTTTGGTGTCAATCCAAAGCAAATAGAATCCATTGTGATAATATTTAAGTTCATCCATAATTATCTGCCTATAAGATCGCTTTTCTTCCTTAATCTTCACTCCAGTTTCTTCTGTTGGCTGAGGGCTTGGCACCTGTGGCTTCTTTGCGGTTTGCTCCAGCTGAGGTTTACCTGGGACCTCCTGCAGCCAGTAAGCAGATGTGTGCAGCTTTTGTATTACTCTAGTCCTTAAGTGAAGTACTTTATGGCCTGTCTGAGTAGGATAGGAGTACTTCTTGCTGCCATAGTTCTTCATATATGTTTTATTTAAATGGGAATCTGGTAAGTGAAGAAATGCAAATGATGGGGAGTGAGAAGAGCTGGTGGGATGGACACAATGGCTAGGGAATCTGGAATAAAAAAACAACATCCTCTGAGTTGAGCACAAGACAAAAAATTAAAGACAAGACAAAAAATTACAAGACAAAAAGTTACAAGACATTGTAACTATTACAAGACAAAAAGTTAAAGAAATAGATATTTTATCTGGTAAAAATAGAACAATCGTTTTTAAGCCTGCATTTTAAAAGTAGATTATGTTCATGAATGAATGAAATATAACTGTTGAGCCCAGCTGAAGGATAGTATGCTTCATGGGTGAATGATATACTCTAAGAGAAATATTAATAAGTTAATTCCTAAGAATAATTGCCGTATTACAAGTTAGAAACTCTGTGACTATTGATTTAAAAAGCAAACATTCTTTTACCCTGGGTTATGTTTGAAACTTTTGTCTCTATTATCATAAAACAGGTGGAACACTTGTGTCTTTAGCTAGTCTACTGATGATTATATATTGTTTGAATGAGACATTTCATGGTCCCTGTGGGGATAAACCAATCACACAATACTGCTTTGTCTATGCAGTGCCCAGGGACTCCTTCAAATGAGAGGGACTTACTACTGAAATGCCCTTCACCTAAGATTCCGAAAGAATATTAGGAATAAGAGTTAGAATTGGGCTCCGCATACAGATGAACCGGTTTGCGGAGCAGAAATAGAGACACAGATGTAGAGAACAAACGTATGGACACCAAGGGGGGAAAGTGGCGGGGGGTGGGTGGTGGTGGGATGAATTGGGAGATTGGGATTGACATATGTACACTAATATGTATAAAATAGATAACTAATAAGAACCTGCTGCATAAATAAATAAATAAAATTCAAAAAAAAAAAAAAAAAAAAAAGGAATTGGGCTCCCCAGCCAGGGATCTCTACAATCTAGTTTTGTGACAACTCACAATCTTCAGCTAAACTGACACATCAGATTGTTTGAAAGTAAAAATAAGACCCATCTAGGCAAAGACAACTTCTGGCAAAGAGACTTCTTTGGGCAAAGAGATGGCTTTTTCCATTCTTTCAGACTATTTTTGAAGCGTGCCAAGTATAGCACTTTTTGAATGGCCAAAAGGGAAAATATACAACATATCTGGCATGCAGTAAGTTCTCAGTGAATATTCTTTGGAACAAATAAGTGATAACAGACCTTACTGGGGCAGGTATATACCCTAGAATTGGCTTGTTTACCAGCCGTTTTACTCCTTTTTACATCTAAGGGCCTCATTACAGAGGTGTCACTCTAAAGCCATTACATCTTGTATCTTACCTGTTCCCACACTTCTACAAAATTACTCAGCCTGAGTTCTAAAGCATATAGAAAATCTGGGGTAAGTTTAAATACATTAAAATGTCAGCTTCCTAAAAACCAACACAATTAAAACCAACAAAGCTTTAATTTTGTACTAAACCTATCCTTTTACATGTATCTTTTCCAACTAGAAAAATAAAGTTTATATAAATATTGGGGGGTGGAATTCCAAGGCTTACCTTGCTCGGGCAATAGCTAAGACTGTTTTATAACTGTAGAAGGCCATATTTGTGTTTGTCTCAAGTCAACATAGGGACCTAGACAGAAGGAGTAAGTAAACAATTCAGTACTTTAAAGACACATCAGGGCTTCCCTGGTGGTGCAGTGGTTAAGAATCCGCCTGCCAGTGCAGGGGACACGGGTTCGAGCCCTGGTCCGGGAAGATCCCACATGCCGCGGAATAGCTAAGACCGTGCACCACAACTACTGAGCCCGCGTGCCACGACTACTGAAGCCCGCGCACCTAGAGCCCATGCTCCGCAACAAGAGAAACCACTGCAATGAGAAGCCCGCACACTGCAACAAAGGGTAGCCCCGGCTCGCAGCAACCATAGAAAGCCACCAGGCAGCAAGGAAGACCCAATGCAGCCAAAGGAAAAAGAAAAAAATCAATTATACAGATATCAGGATTGAAGTGTTTTTAACTATTGCAAGGGAAGAAAATTTGCATATTCTATTCAAGGTGTAAAATTTCCTTCAAGAGCATTTCCAACAATCACGAATAATATTTTCTTAGCCCTGGATTTGAGAATGGTTATTTGAGATCCCAACAAATAGAAATGGTAAATGGACTCGAATACGATGATGTTCATGATGGTGATATGGTCTTCAAAGACATTTTGATTTCTGGTCAACAGTACTGAGTAATTTACTTGAACGGTTGCCAAGTAGTTAAGAAATCAAGACAAGCTTATTTGTAGCCTAAAATTACAGGTAGACAGTAAATATCCTGGATTTGTTTTCAATTAGCTTTTTTCCATACTTGGACAAGCTGCTGCCAACATTTAAAGATTGAAAGTACTCATTCAGCAATGAAAATATGCATGGCACCTACTAATAATTCAAGTGGAGGTAATTCAAGTGGGTTTCCTATGCTCGTGACCCTCCAAAGAGCCCAAACTGAGCTTTAAACCTTTAAGCTTTACCAAAATTTTTCTGCATCCTACGGCGCTCTTCAGCCAACGGCAGCAAGAGCCTTATTATCTCGCAGTGTCAACTCTGCTTTCCTGAAGCTGGGAAAGGAGTAGCAATCCCTCCGGTACGGAAACCTCAACCACAGACCTGACATTTTGAGCAAGAATTCAAATAATACTTCGGAACATCTGCACCCAGACCAAGGGCGTGTGGCCCCCTGCTGGAGGAAGGCCAGACCCGATCGGGCAGTTAATCTGCTCTCGGGCCACGGGCGCTCGTCGCCTGGACTGTGGGCAACCACTTCCCAGGAGTGCCCGGCCGTGACCGGGGCGGGGCGGGGCCGGGCGGCGAGCGGGGCGGAGCCAGGCGGCGAGACCCGCCTGCGCTTATGCGCCGCCACGCCCGCTCGCCCGGGCCCCAGGCTCCCCCTGTTACCCTTGCCTTAGATTCTCGACGTCACGGTGGCAAAACGCGCTCTCGGCCTCCCCAGCCGGTGACTTTTGTGCGCGTTGTGTGTTGCTGGGCTGTGTTTGCTGTGCTGGGGTCCCGGGGGGGGGGGGGGGGGGGTCTTGGGTTTTTTTTGGAGCGGGCGTGTTGCAGGCACGGGGACCAAGAGCCTTGGCGATCCAAGTGTATGGAAGGAAGGCGAGAAGAATCGGGACACAGGGTACGGAAAAGAAATGAGGAGGCCAAGCATGGAAAGAGGGGGGATGGAGGCTGAGCCCCAAAGTTGGGGTGCGGGCGGGGGGCTGAGGTCAGGGGCTGAGGAGAGCGCGGGGTGGGGCCTCGAAGCTGTCTGGAAATCTGGGCGCTGATGGGAGGAGCAGGATGCGGAGGGAGCGGGCTCCGGAGGAAAACAGGCAGGCGCGGTCCACCAAGTAACAGCCTGAGGACTTGGCCCGCCCACCCCTACTTCCTACGGCAGGCTCCCCGGAACTGCTGCCTCAGTCCTCCAGCGCCTTCCCAATTCCCCTCCTCCCACAGCTCCCCCAGCTAGAAGGGCCAGAAGCCAACTCTCTATGGCTCCACCTCTTTCCTCAGCCATTACGTCACTCTGAGTGACGACACCACCCACCAATGAGCTCTCAGATTCTGGGGCGCTAAGGCGTCCCTCGCGATGGCAGCCCAGGGGGCCGCAAGGTCTGGTTCTCACCGGCGAAATGACTTCTCTACTGGGTTTAGTTTAAGGAGTGTTTATGCTGGGGGGCTCAATACTGACGCTTTTCTGCCTGTTCACACTCTGTAGGCTGTGGATTCACCTCCCCCCCAAAAAAACACCCTTCCTTGAAGCTGGATTAAAGAAGCTCTTACCCTACCAGTCGCGTAATATGCCTGATAGTCGCCATGGTGACTATCTGGGAGTCACCAATTACATCACTCTGATATATTCCCCCACCTTCCAACTCCGCAACTGCGGGCGGGGAAAGCAGTGAGGGGAGGGAGTGGCAGAAAGGGCGGGAATGGTGAGGAAAACATCCCCTCTCCTATATCCAGGGCCAAAAACTGGAATGCTATGAAATTTTCATATGGAAATCTGAATTCCACTAAATAAAATTGCTTTATAAATGTTCTCTTAACAGATATTGGTTATGTTCAGTAGTTTGCGTTTCTCAAATAACATTTAAAATGTATATTATAGTAGCTGTGCAATGACATTGGCACTGCAGTTTTGGGGGCACTTCAGTTCCTAGGATGGGGAACTGAGCCATCTTGGGAAAGTGAAAGATCTAAAAATGTACTCTATCCGCAGTTATCTCTACCCATCCATTTTATCTGGCTCTAGAAGGAAAACAAAATTTTGGTGGCTCTACTTTAACATGACAGGAAGGAATTGCTTTCACACGGAGAATACTTCTCTTAACATGTGACTGACCACAGACCTTACTCATCTGGGCTGCACATTTGTAAGAATAAAAGATGGCGGTATATAAAATTTCATTTTTTAAAAAAATGTAGACTGCTTTTAATCCACAAAGCATTTTTTAGCTAATAACCAAATGGATCCACTGTTACATAGGCAAAACTTTTCAGTTTGGCCACTAGAGGGCCCTTTGTGCGTGTCTGATACCCAACTTTAGACCGAAAGGTTTCACTTCACGTTCTATGTTTACGAGAGTTAACAAAATCTACAAAGCTTTATAAAGTCTCTTTACCTTTCCTTCCCTGAAAATTCCCGATGGTAAATTTTGAACTCTAAAAGGCTAGGTAGGTATAATTTTCACATTAATTTCATAAATTAATCACTGTACTATCATGTACATGTACTTTTCTGCAAAAGATCATAAAAGATGCAAAAATATTCTTCTCAGTTCCCTGGGAGACATTTTATGCCGGGAAATATTCTTATTCATGCATTGTATTCATTTACAACCAGGCACAGTGAAAATCATTAAGTATTCATAAACCAGATGAACGATTCCAAGCCCAGTATTTGAAAGATGAGCTAGATTTTCTACCATGGCCATATGTCAGCAATCCCATTTTAAAAAGGGAAGGTTTAAGAATCTTTCTTATTGAAATCCATTGGTTCAAAACAATGTCTGCCTTCTTTTATCAGGCCGGGTGATTTTTTTGACTTTCAGGATAAGTGATTTATCATGTAATGCGTTTCTTAATATAATCTTCAGAAGACAAACAAAAATGTTTTTTTCTCCCTAATCTTGGTCCTGAGAATTGTGTTAGATTGCTTTCTTTTTAGAAAAAATTTTAAATTTTCTTTTCTTAAATTTATTTTTGGCTGCTTTGGGTCTTGTTTCTGTGCGCAGGCTTTCTCTAGTTGTGATGAGCAGGGGCTTCTCTTCGTTGTGATGTATGGGCTTCTCATTGCAGTGGCTTCTCTTGTTGCAGAGCATGGGCTCTAGGCGCGCAGGCTCAGTAGTTGTGGCACATGGGCTTAGTTGCTCCGCGGCATGTGGGATCTTCCCTGGCCAGGGCTCAAATCTGTGTCCCCTGCATTGGCAGGCGGATTCTTAACCACTACACCACCAGGGAAGTCCCAGGTTGCTTTCTTAATGAAATTTTTGCTCACTTTCTATGAAGAATAGAAAACATGCTCTGAACCTCGTTAGATGCTAAAAATGTAAATTATTATTTTAATGGCCATTTCCCTAAGTACGGCTCCAAATCAAATATTATTAACAATGTGTATGTTATGCAGGAAGAGACTATGCATTTACTTCACGTAAGTTTAATTTTAAACTCTTGTCAATACAGGAAGGTGGGAAAGAAGGATGAAGCTAGAAAGGATCATAGGAAAGGGAAAAAAAAAGACCAATTTAACCTCTCTTTCCAGGAGATAGAATCAAACATTTGAAATAAGCTCAGGTGGTGTGGCCCCCTTTGGAGAAGACATTTAAAACAAAACTGTGCTTTTATTGATTCCTTTTTTTTTTTTTTTTTTTTTTTCCTGTACGCGGGCCTCTCACTGTTGTGGCCTCTCCCGTTGCGGAGCACAGGCTCCGGATGTGCAGGCTCAGCGGCCATGGCTCACGGGCCCAGCCGCTCCACGGCATGTGGGATCTTCCCGGACCGGGGCACGAACCCGTGTCCCCTGCATCGGCAGGCGGACTCTCAACCACTGCGCCACCAGGGAAGCCCTTATTGATTCCTTTAACTTTTGGTACCACAAGCATATGAACCACACAAGCATAGATTTAGAAATAGTTAATGATTAACAGTAATGGGAATGCTTAATTCTGAATATCATCCTTAGCATTATTAACAGGGTTGTGTGTGTGTTTTAAACGAATGCAAAATTAGAAATCATGAAAATAATTGGTCTGTAGGAATCTTTTAATTTCCTGTTTAAGTGGTATTTAAAGATAAAGGTAGCAGGGATTGCCCGTAACGGTACCAAATAGATAACAGCACTGTAACGTCGATGGAGAGTCTAAGGTCTAGTGCTGATATGACTTTATTATTCTCAGAACGGAGTACTGGTTTCCTCATCTGTTTGTTCGCTGCCTGTGTTTCCTTTGTACTTTCATGTCTGTGCTACGACGTTCTAAGTCATTATCACCAGGCCCCAGGAAATATCACCAAATCGGCCCACTCCTGCAAGAGGAGTTTACTGTGTCACGTACCTGGTACCTTCTATTGTTTCACATAATTTCCTAGGATGGGGAGGGATATAGGGTTACAGAGAATCTTGACTCCCGCTTCGTCCTCTCATTCTTGCGTACGTGAGCTCTGTCTGGGACAAACGCCCTCATCCGTCAAAGCGCAGGTCTAGCCGCGAGCAGCGCAGGGCCCGGCACGTGACGGGCGGGGAGCCCGCCGGTCCCTCTGGGTTGGGGTGCGGAAGGCTCTGCCTTCCTTCCCCCTGTTACCCACAAGCCCTCGGGCCCGCGGGACGAGAAGGAAGCAGGCGTGTGGGGCCCGGGGCCTGCCAGGGAGGCGTCCGAGGAGCCTGCCATCCGAGACTGTCCCCCAAGGCTCCGGTCGGAAATCGCTGCCACACGCAGAGCCCGGTGGGACAGGGAGCTCCTCTGTGACAACTGTCGGGCGGGAGACAACCAGGGTGGCACAGAAATCGCTGTCCCCTTTCCCGCTCATCTTAACCGGGCGCCCGTTTGTAGGGGATTTCTAAGGTCTAGGGAGGGCATCGCAGTGTCACCCCAAGCAGTCCCACCAGGTGATTGACATGTGCTGTTAGAAGCATCAAAGAACACGCACATGCACACTTTCGCCTCCCAGGCCCAACCTCTATCCTGCCTTCTAGTTTTGTTTTGTTTTTCACTTTTCTCCGCGTCGTGCCTTTCTGTCTCTCCGCCTTTATCGCCTGCGGTCTCACTTCCAGTCGAGACCCCGCCGGGCCGCTGGCGTTTCAGGCTCTCCCCCAGCCCCTCCTTTCCGCCCGCCGACTGGCTTCTTCCTCCTTTAGCCCACTGCGCCCCGAGCCCCGGACTGCATTTCCCGGCAGGCGCCGCGGCCAGCGGCCAATGAGCGGCTGAGGATTTGGCGGCGGCGGCGCCCCGAGAGTCGGGGTGGGGGGGGCTTTGTGCGCGGCGGCGGCGGCGGCGGCGGCGGTGGCGGTGCCTGTGGCGGCGGGAGCGGGTGGCGGCGGCGACCAAGACGGAGGTGGAGGCGGAGGGGGACTGTCCACTGGTCGCCGCGGAGAGGCGTGCGAGGCCGAGTCGAGCCCCGACGACGACCCTGCTGCCCCAGCCCGGCCGCCAGCCACGGGCTGGTCTCTGGCAGCTGCAGCTGCGCGGCGACCCCCATCCCTCCGGCTCCGCTGCCCACCCCACCGCCCGCAGTCTTCCTCCTCTTGCTGCGCGCCCGGCCCGGCCTGGCCGTGGCCCTCCTCGGTGCCGGCCGCCATGGCAGAGGCGTCCGGCGCGGGGGAAATCTAGCCCGGGGATTTCATGCGGCCTAGCTTGGTTCCGCCTCCTCCTCCCGCGGCCCCGGCGGCTGCCTGCACCCCAGCCCTACTCCGGGCCTCCGTGTGTCTCCTGTGATCGTACTGACACGGCCGGGGGGTTAGAATGGAACAAAGTGAAGGTAAAGTGAATGCGTGTGTATGTGTGTGTTTGTGTGCGCGCGCTCTGGAAGGAAGCGCTGAGGTGGGGACGGCGAGGAGGGGGCGACCTAGGGATGGGACCCGGGTAGGGAGAGAGACCTTAGCAGGGATGGGAGGACTAGCGGGTGGCCTGAAAGGGTTCGAGGGGAGTCTAGAAGGATGAAGCAAGGCGGGGGATGTGGAGGGGATTGGGAGGTGGGGCAGGAGAGGTAGGATTGGGATAAGGGATGGAGTGGCGCTAAGCTGGGAATTGGGAGTAGAGGTGGGATGGGGGCGGGGATAAAGATGGAACGGGGGAGGGGCAGGGGGAGAGGAGAAGAGTTAGGTTTGGAGATTAGAGACCTGGGCGGACAGAGAAGTAGGCAGGTTTGGGGGTGGAGTATGGGAACTAGGAGAGTCTGGGGGAAGGAGAAAGAATTAGGTGGAGAGATGGGGCCTCAAGGGAGACACGAGGGGAATGGAAGTGGAGGAAAAGGTGGATTAGGAAAAAGGGATGAGAAATGCTTGAGACAGGATGCAATAGGAAGATAGGAAATAGACTCAGGAACTGGGAGACCCAGGATCGGGCTCGGGAAGGAAATTTACTGAATGTTGAGAAGGATGAGAACTATGGACCAAGCGTCACAGAGTGGGAGGAAAAGAAGGGGAAGGGGGTTGTTAAAGTGTTAGGAAGGGAAAGCCTTTTGTTCCTATATTTGTGTGTATTCTGTGCCTTTTCTTTCAAGGCTAGATAATGGAGAAGCTAGTGGTTATGGTGTTGTGAAATGGGGAGGTGTGGGTTTTACAGCTTTGAGGTGCTTTGAGGGAGGAGGAGGTGTGTTCGTGTAATGGTAGCAAGACAGAGAGAGACATGGCCATAATTTGATGGTTTTGGTGAGGAGTGAAGACTATTCAGATTTAAAGGGGGCAGGGGCAGCCATGTTTGCTGCCAGGCACTGCAGTGTAAATAAATTCCTTCTTCTCTCCGACATCAGTATGAATCTGGAAGGGGCCAGTTCAGATTGTTAACCCCCTTTCTTTCTATTCATGAACTCTTCCCATACATCTTGGGGTTATTTAAAATTATTCATAACCACCAAAGGAGGTAGTAATGTTTTCCATCTTGTGTGTTTTGCTGCCCCCCCCTTCCCCTTTTCTTTCTGGTTGCGAACAAGGCATGCTAATGAACTGCGGTGTAAAATTTAACCCCTTTAATAAAGTTAAAACTATATTTTTTACTAGCTGAAGGAATCCTTACTACTCTTATTTCAAACATGATCATGAAAAGGCTTTTAAATGTTGAAAATTCATTTGTTTCAGAAGCCTCAGAAGCAGTCAACATGTTTTCTGCAATTCTTTAAGTAAACAAGGAAATTGCCTCGGTTATTTTACTTGGGCTTGTGCTCTCGGCAAAGCACTGTGTGAGGGGAGAGGAGGGGTAGGAAGGTCTGCTGTGGTACATTATCTGCTTGCTGTAGTTTGCGTGTTGGAAAATTAGAAATGTGTGTATTTTAAAATGGTGTTTCTGATGGTTCTTGCTTATAGGTGATGGGTGTGTTAAGAAGTGTTTTCTTTTTTAAAATAAACTCTTTTCCATCCTTTCTCTTTGCTTTCATACAATTGCCCGGTACAATCTCCAAATGTCAGTTCAGCACAGTGCAGTGATCTATGAAGCAGGCATGCAGGGCTCAGAGCGTCATTCAGGTGCCAGGATTTTTTGGTGGGAACTTCAGGTCACTCTCAGGAAAGCTACAGTAACTCTCAAATGTATTCAAGTGTACCTACTTATGTGATTTGAAATAGTTACTATTCTAAAGCTTTAAATACTAACAAACTTACAGGAGCTGAACTAAGTGGAGCCTATTTTATTTTCATATTAAAAAGGATTAAATGTGTGTGACCTTTTGTTTTTGTTTTATTATTGTAATTGGGAGAATCCAAACTTTAATCCGTCATATTGGTATTGAAACTGTTCTCTAATACCAGGAAGGCCTGTTAAAATTGTAATATGATGGACTCAAACCAGTTGTGCTACATATTGATTTAATCTATCCTAATTCCTCATCCTTTCAAGTTGTTATATAGAATTTTAGGATGTGTTCTTGGTCTGCTGGCAAAATTAAATTGAATATTGTTAGAGTGTTACTTTGGGAGAGCACTTTTAGTATAGAGGTCAGATATACAACTTATTTTGATTTGATAATATTCAGCCTGAATTTTTAAAAATCTTATGAGAAAAAGTTCCACTCAAAAAATCCATTCAGTATGCTTTTTTGGGATTTATTTTTATGGAGATTTCATTTTTATATCTCTCACTTGATTGACATGTTATTTGTAATTAATTTGTGAATGAACCATCAGTGCCATAAATTTTTAGGAAAATGAGAAATTGTTGTATATTAAAATAAGAAAAGACTCTTGAAAGCTTGAATTACTTTAAAAAAAAAAGTTTATTCCTAGATATTCGGCATTTTGTAAAGATAAATGTCGCCTGCCCAGTTGTCATGAGTATTCTGGCTCCTGGCTAGGTATCCACATGTAATGAAGAAGGCTACTCTAGTTAGTTGATACTTAATTAAAACCCAGACTGTGCTCTGATTACCATGTCTCTCATCAGCTCACCTGCTACCTGTGATAGCTTTTTTTTTTTTTAACTTTAAGTTAATAGATATGCCCTTTTTTATACTGATCAGATTGAATGAGTTTGGGGTAAAGGAAATTGGTTGCCTTTGAGATTGGTCATCCTTGAATGAATTGTCAAAGTCTTTAGTCAGTTGTCTGATTCTAAAAGACACTCCATTTCTGGAATTTATAATAATATTTATAATAAGCCTAGTAATGGCTACTAATAGCTGTTGTCCTCTAACAGTGTGCTGCACTAAATGTCTTATATGGATGATTTCCCGTCATCCTCTCAACAGTTGTGGGAGGGTTAGTACTGTTAACTCCTTTTTTACAGATGGAGAGATTGAGGTTAAACACCTTAATAACACACAGATGGTAAACAGCAAAGCCAGTATACGAACCCAGGTCTTTTCTAATTATAAAACCTGATCAGCAGACCTTTACTTTTATTTTCTTGTAAAGATTCATAAAAATAATACACGTTCATTATTTAATTTTTTTTGAAATATTATAAAAGACTATAAGAGGTTTAAAAAAAAGTTAACACTCTGTTCTCCACTGACAATCATTTTGAAGTTTCTTGGGTGTCCTAGAAAATTTCTGTACGTATGTACGTACATCTGTCTTAAAATACATACAAATTCTATCACACAGTTTGCATTTTGCTTTTTTGTTTTAGTAGGCTACCTGGGACATCCTTTCAAACAAGCACATATGGACCTACAGCTTTCTTTTTTTTAAGGGTCATATAGTATTCCATTGTTTGAAATATTGATTAATATTAACATTAAGTTGTTAACAAGTTTTTGCTATTACAAGTAATGTAGCAGGGCCTGAATTAAGTTCCTAACAGCCTATTTAAATAGAAGAGATATAGTCCAACTACTTTATTTTACAAGAGAAATCACTGAGACCAGAGAAGTTAAGTCCAAGGCTTTGGTGAAAAACCTGTCACTTGACTCTTTATACCACATCACATTACTTTATTATTGTGGAAGTATTTGTGCATTCTGTGAAAGCTCAAGGTGAGGGGGAATACTCAAGGTTAGGCATGGTTAGTATAATGAGCACAAGGGGATTAAGTTGCAGTGAGGTAAAGGCTCTTGCTTCTCTTTTTCCATACTTTGTTCACCATGTTGTACATATAGCGTTTATACAAAATAATTTTACATGCATAAATGACTCTTGTCCAGGTATCTTGAAGTTTGTATTTTGGGTAATGAAGTGGTTTTGGCAGAATTTTTCCTGTTTTAACAAAATTATCAATGAAATAAAAAAATAAGAGGTCTATCATGGTCCTGGAAAAGAACTTGGAAAGAATACCTAATTGAAAACAAGTTTTAAAAAAATCTTAGGCATCACTGATTATTTTTAATTATTTTTTACTATCAAGAAGAAAATTCGTAACCGTGGATACTTATTCATTGAATTCCTTTAAAACAAAAAGTCTATTTTAGACACTTAAAAAATTAAAATCATTAAAGCTTTAAAAAGGTTTAGAATTTGGTATCTATCCATAAAATCTATTTTGGTGCATTGCTGTTTTTAGTTTTACCAAAAAAAAAAAATAGGAGTCTATTATTTTTTGAAAGAGCAACTAAGATGATTTATTCATGTGTTAATAAATAACATGTCCAGCATTTGAGTTTTTTTTTTTTTTTTTTTTTTTTTTGCGGTACGCGGGCCTCTCACTGTTTGTGGCCTCTCCCGTTGCGGAGCACAGGCTCCGGACGCACAGGCTCAGCGGCCATAGCTCACAGGCCTAGCCGCTCCGCGGCATGTGGGATCTTCCCGGACCGGGGCACGAACCAGTGTCCCCTGCATCGGCAGGCAGACTCTCAACCACCGCGCCACCAGGGAAGCCCGCATTTGAGTTTTTAAATGAATGGTGAGCTTTATTTCTGCAGGCTAATCTTTTAATAAATATAAATAAAGATAAATTTAAGAAACTGATTATACTACGACTACCTAACACATTTTTTAAATACTCAGAGGTTTTTCATTTTGTTTTTATTGTTGACCTTACTAAGTACTTAATAAGTACTTTTAAACACTTATGTATTATGTTGTGCTAGTACAGGGTGGCATGAAAAGAAGGAAAAAGGCATATTTAAAATTTTGTGATTTAGAGAATGTTCAGTTTTTACTAGATAGATGTGTTTTGTTACTTCTAAAGTACATCTGCTTATTGACAAAATTTTGCATTTGAAAAGCTCTTTGATAAATGATTCTTGGCTTATTCTTAAATTTTAAATGTGAATCTGTGTTATCATTGACTGATCTACAATGAGAATTCTTTTTCTACTATGTTCCCTCTTTCATCTAGATTTAGAACTATATTGAGAGAGTGAATAGGAAAATTTTACAAATTTATATT